CTTTAGTTCACAAAATCTTACACTGTTCCCTTCATTTTTAAAAAGAAATGATAATGTATAGTAGTCAAAGAAAAATAATCCAAAATGATTTTGTTTGAAATTCTGGAATTATTTCCAGAAACATGCAAGGCTGGTTCAATATTTGAAAATTACTTTGTGTAATGCACCATATTAACAGATTAAAGCAAAAATCCACATGATCACTTCAACAGACGCAGAAAAGACATTTGACAAAATTCAACATCCATTCATGATAAAAACCCTCAGCAACCTCAGAAAAGGAGGAAACTTCCTTAACCTGATTTAGAGAGTCTACAAAATGACCTAGAGCTAACATTTTAAAGATGAAAGACTGAGTGCGGTCCCTTTAAATTGGTGAACAAAGCAAGCATGTTCCCCTTCATCACTCCTGTTAAGTCAAGAAAAAGAAAAGGCATACAGACTAGAAAGAAATAAACATCTGTTAAGATTACAAGTCTGTCTACTTAGAAACCTACCCCCCAAAAAGCTCATGGAATAGATGAGTAAAAACTCAGGATACAAAGTCAATATACAAAAAAAAAATTGTACTATATCTTGTCAATGATCAATTGGAAACCCAAGTCTTTTTAAATGACCATTTACAATAGGGCCAAAAAACTGAAATACTTAGGTATAGATCTAATAAAATATTTGCAGGATCTATATGCTGAAAACTAAGAACACTCATAACAGAAATCAAAGACCTAAATAAATAGAGAGAACACAGTGTTCACAGATTGGAAATTTCAATTTTGTGAAGATGTCAATTACCCACAAGTTGAACCATAAACACAATCCCCCAAAAAATTCTAGCAGAATTTTTCTGTGGATATTAAGAAGCAGATTCTAAAATTTACCTGGAAAGACAAAAGAACTAAAATAGTAAAAACAATTTTGAAAAGAAATAAAGTTGGAGAACTCACATTACTTGATTTCAAGACTTATCTCAAACCTCTAGTAACCAAGACACTGATATTGTCAAAGGATAGACAGACAGATCAATGGAACGCAAGGGCCTGGAAACTGACCTACACAAATGCAGTCAAGTGATTTTTGACCAAGAGACAAAGGCGATCCAATGGAGAAAGGACAATCATTTCAACAAATGGTCACAGAACAATGTGACGAATAAATGAAACTGAACCCAAACCTCTCTCCACACGAATATGTACTCAAACAGAACTTAAACATAGATCTAAATGTAAAATATAACCCTTGTAGAAGAAAACATAGGAGCAAATCTCTGTGACCTTGGGTTAAGCAGTGTTCCTAGATACAATACCAAAAGTAAAATCCATAAAAGAAAATACTGATATTTTGAACTTCATCAAAATGTAAAATGTCTGTATTTCAAAAGACACTATTTAAAAAAATAGAAAAGGCAAGCCACAGACTGGGAGAAAAATCTTTGCAAATCAGGTATCTGACAAAGGACTATAGAGAACCCTCAGAACTCAACGATGAGAAAATCCTATTTTAAAATGGGCAAAATATTTGGACACTTCAACAAGGATACAGATGACAAAAACCCATGAAAAGATGCTTAATATCATAGGCATGAGAAAAACACAAATAAAAACCACAATGAGATACTGCTACATACTTATTAGCATAACTAAAGTAAAAAGATTTACCATACCAAGTGCTGATGAGGATCTAAAGTAACAAACACTCATATATCGCTGAAGGAAATACAAACTGGTTTAGACTCTTTGAAAAACAGTTTTACAGCATATAGTTTCCTGTGGTTTTGTTGTAACTATGGTTATAGTTTCCTATGCTGCTGTAACGAATAACTAGAAACTCAGTGGCTTAAAACAACACAAATTTATTAGCATTTTACATTTTTGGTTAAAAGTCTGATTCAGGACTCCCTGGTCTAAAATCAAGACACTGGCAGAGCTGCATTCTTTTCTGGGGGCTCTAAAGGTTAATCTATTTCCTGGCTTTTTCTCCAGACCACGCCGGCCTTAGCTCATGGCTCCCCTCCTCCATCCTCAAGACCAAGTACTCCACATCTCTCCGGCTCTCCTTTCCTCATTATATCTTGTCTTCTGATTCTACTGCTTCTCTTTCCTTTTTAAGGACCTTTGTGGTACACTGGGCCCACCTGGATAATCTACAATAATCTTAGTATTTTAAAGTCAATTGATTAGCAATCTTAATTCCACCTGCAATTTTAACTCACCTTTGCCATGTAACCTAATTTACTCACAGGTTCCAGGGATTAGGACACCTCGGTGGGACATTCTACTGTTTACAACAGACAGCTTTAATAAAGTTAAACATATAGTTGTCATACAACCCAGCAATTCCACTTCAAGGTCGTACCCAAGAGAAATGAAGACATGTTCACACAAAAACCTATTCGAAAAGATTTACAGAAGTTTTATTCGTAGACTGCCCCCCCCGAAACTAACTCAAATGTCTTTCAACTAGTGGATGGATAAACAAAGTGTGGTACATCCATAAAAATGGAATACTATATTCAGCGATAAAACAGAAGGAACTGCTGATACACTTAACAGCATGGTGAACACTCATATGTATTATGCCAAATGAAAGAAACTATACTCAAACGGTGAGATACAGTACGATTTCATTTATATGATAGTCTGGAAAAGACGAAGTACAGAGAGAGACAACAGATCATTAGCTGTCAGGAGTTAAGGGTGGAGGAAGGGTTCATCATAAAAGTGCAGCTCAGGGGAATCTGGGTGCTGGAACTGTTCTGTACCTTCATTTTGGTAGTTGCACAGCTGTATTATGCATTTGTCCAAACAACTGTACAATGAAAAGAGTTAACTTCATTTCATGTAAATCAAAATTAAGGTAAAGTCTTTTACAAGGAAAGACTACAAGTACATCATTTCTCACTCATTAGGTTGGCAGAAATTTTAAAATGCCAATCTGACAATTCCAAGTGTGGGCAAGAATGACTTATATTCTGTTGGCAGGAATGTAAACTGTTAAAACTTTAGAGGATAATTTGGCTGCAGCTACTGAAATTGAAAATGCATATCAATCTATGGCCCAGCAATTAGACTTACAGGCAAGTATACATTTTAGGGAAATCTTCATACATGTGCTCGAGCACATATGCAAACAGACACTGAACATTGAAATCGTGAAAAACTTAGAACGACCCTTCAGTAGGGGAATAAATTAACTGTGGCTAGTAGTTATTTAAAAAAAGAAAGGAACAAAATGCCTAAGAAAACGAATCAACCCTGCTGGCTACACACGTGATTTTGTGAAAGGTAACTTAAAAGAACACCATACTTGGAATTTGCAGACAAGCACTTTAGCAGTCAGAACTGTGGACTCGTTTTACTTTTCCTGGAAACCGAAAGGTAAGGCTATACAAACATTAAGAATATTTCCAACACAACAATTATATAATGATTTAATAAGTATATAATAAAAAATTATATTTAAAGCCCCTATGTTAAGAAACTATTTTCCCCAGACACCCTGCAATCAGAAACTATCAGAGAAATAAAACATCTTAGCATATCGATACATAAAATGGACCAAATTTCTTGGTCTGTCCTTTTAATCAATATCACAATGCAGAAGGAACATATAAGCAGCTTACCCTCAGGTAAAACATATATATCCTCTCTCACTGTAACATTCTAAAACAAGTAAATATTTACTGTCAAGTTCAGATCCGTCTAGCCAAAAGTCATTCAAGTACATGGTATGATTCGCTTGCTTCTTTTTAAAAACAAAGATAAAATGAACTGCCTTTCATATTTTTGCCTGTTTTATATGCAAAGACCTTACACGATAATTTCATAGCTTCAGCCTGCTACAATAAAGAGCCTTTAAAAACTTGTAATATGCCATGGCACAGGGATCTAATAAAAAAAGAAATCAGTATTTCATAATCCAAACAAGCTTATTTAACAATTTCATTACCACCAATACTTACACTTCAAAGACACCAAATAACCAACATGTCATTTGTTCCTACTGCAGAATTTAATAGGCTATTAACTTATGGTATAACCCAAAAGCTAATTAGAATACAATCATTAAAACATATTATTTTTAAAAACAGAAATATTAACACCTTTCACCTTGTTGGTAAAATCAAAACTTCAAAATTCTTGTTCTATACTTTCCAAATCTAAATTCATACAATTCTAAACGAGTTCGGAGACAAAAACGTAGACTATATACTACTTCTAAAAACCTCCAGACTTTAATTTTAGCGCCAAATTAAAAAAAACAACCGTAAAAAACTTTCGACCAAAACCTGAATTCCGTACACATTACTGTATGTCGATCAAATAAGCATAAGGTGAGTTATTATTAGTAAGTTACATAATTTGCACCAAAGATTGTTTAAAGTGTCTTTCATTAAATGCAGCTTCCAACAATTTACAGGCTTCAAAGTTCACCTTGCACACTTAGAGTAAATTATCAGAAACTATTTACGAGAATAGGAATTTCTTTAAAATTGGTCACAAGGAAGTAGGAATAGTTTGTTTAAAGAACGCAACGAGGAGCTGAATACCAGGAGCTGAGTCAGGCAGAGGAACGCTGACTACATTCCATCTTCTCAAGGAAAGTGTTCGCCCTGCCCTTTTCCCCGACCCGGCTTAGAGGGAGTCCCGGGAGTCCCGAACTCGGGGACGGAGGTGCAGGGGACAGGCGACTCCCTGCCGCGCCTCCCGCAACTCGGGCTGCAAGGGCAGTAGCGCCGCCAAGGCGGGTCCCTAGTCAAGCCCTAGGGACTGGGCACAGCCAGGCAGCGCTCCTCCAAGGGACAAAGGTTGGGCTCACGCCTGCCGCGGCGGGCTGCCGCTCTCGCGGCTCGGGGCAGCCCCCAGGGCAGTCCGAGGTCCCACCCGAGCCTAGCGCACGGCGTGTGGGGGAGGGGACGAGCCCGACTGCCCCTCCCCCGCCGCGCTCCCGGGGACCTGTTGATTAAGACCTCCACACCGAGCCGCCGCCGGTCCTTCTCTTACCTCTGCGCCACAGCGGCCGCAGATCCTGCTGTCCCAGCCACCTCTAAATACTGCAGAAACGACAGCTCCCCAACGGCACTTAAGATACCGGATAAAGAATCCAGTAACTCCCGATTCCCCACCTCACAATCCTTAGTCCCCGCCCCCGCCGTCTCCGCCGCCAGCCGCCGCCGTCTCCGCCGCCGGCGACTCCACCTCTGCACCGCGCTAGACCGGCCCCCGCGGCCGCCGCAAGACCGCGCACGCGCCCCCGGGACACAGGCGTAGCGGGAGTGCCTATCCCCGTCCATTCAGGCCGCGCCCCGCCCTCTGCTGGGCTGAGAGGCCGGCGCGGTTCGCCCAATCCCGTGCCCGTGCGGAGAACCGGCCCGCTCATTGGTCAGCTCCTCAGCTAGCGAGCGTCGGGTCGCGCGCACTGGCGAGTCTCCAAGTATCACTGGCAAAGTGCCTCAGGCTTGTAGGCATAGGAAATTGCTTTGGGCTTGAGCTCCGGGGAAGTAGGTTGTGTGGGGCTGTGAGGTTTCCCGGGGACGTAGTCTGGAGCAGGTTAGGGTTCTGCAGCCCCTGACTCTTCTCTCCGTGGGACTGTCCCTTCCTAAAGAAAATCTGATTCCCCGTGAGGCCACTCCTCTTGTCCTATGAAAGACGTCACATGATCTAACATTTGTGTGTTTTTTTTAAAAACGTGACATACTTGAACACTACACATGTAGTGTCCCACAGAAGAATTCTGTTACCGCAGAAGACTCCAAAAAGCTAGCAGCTTGGATCGAGTTCTGAAAACCAGAAAGGAAGAATGCCAAGGGCCACAGCTGTTTCACAAAACTCAAGTGAATGGGTTTAGAGTGTCCTGGGCCAACCCATACCCAGTGCAAGAAAATCCAGCTAAACAATGTTTAGAATTAATTCCCTAGGAACTGTCAGCCATATGCAAAAGAGGGTGTCTATGTGTGTGACCTATTTCTTTTTCTAAGTCCTTAAATGCATAAAATAATAATTCAAGAAGCCTCCTGTAATTCCTCAATGAATTTTTCTTCCTCTGCCTCAGGATTTCTCAACCTCAGGGCCACTGACATTAGGGCCACAGCATTCTTTGTTGGGGAGGGACTGTCCAGTCCATTGTAGGGTGTTATAGCAGCACCCCTGGTCTCTATCCTCTGGATGCCAGTAGCACCGCTACTCCCATTATGACCATGAAAAATGTCACTATACATTGCCAAAGCCCTCCCTGGGGCTAAAATCACCTCCATTTAAGAACCACTGATCTAGCTGTTCAAAGAAATGTACTCTTCAGAAAGAGTCTCTCATTACCTATGCATTCCAATTGCTTGGCTCCAAGCAATTTTGCGTGACACCCCTAACAAAATGAACTCCTCAGCTACCTAGGCTTGCTTCTCCAGCTGCTTAGGGACCTCTGTTACAGGACTGCACACCCATAAAAAGATGATCACTGTATGAGAGAGCAGCTGACCTTCTCAAAATATGTGGAGTGTCCTATGTAAAGTGCTATACAAATGTTAGTTGCTCTTTTTACTTCTCAAAGATGTTTTCATTTTAAAAGAGGGAAGACCTTGGGACAAAATAAAAGTTTATTCTCTGGTGGATAAAACCATCCCCAGAATCCTGAAATCACAAAAATCACTGGCTTTGTGTGCAAAAAGTGAAGAATGTAAGAAATAGAAACTGCAGCTAAGGTCATTGGATTTGAGATTTAGCTTTGATGCTGACTAGTTTGGTGACTTGGATGTGTGAAAAATCTCCTAAACTTTTCCTAATGTTTCCTAAGTTTACTTGCCTAAATGTTCTCATCTATAATATAACAGGTTAATTGCTTTTTACTAGTTTTGAGATTCTAGTAGTTTTAAAAAAATATTTAATCTAGCATGGATGGCATAGGGAAATAAGAAAATGTGATTTCATCCCCAAATAGAATGCAGTGGGTGATTTGTTTAAAATCCTCCATCAGAAGAGTTGTTCATCCTTGTTACATGGCAAGTTCACCCGCTGAGTCACCCTGGCAAATTCGTAACTAAGTATTTTGGGTGAGTAGTGAAAGACAAACTGGAAAAACAAGTGTATGGCAGAGGATGACCATACCCTTCCTCCCTCCTCCTCTTGACATCTGCTTAACCTATCAATCTGGCAACAGCCTCTATTACATGTTTATGTAATAAAACGTTGTACCACTTTATTATGGTACAGGCCTGGGGGAGATATATTCATATTGTATTTTAGCCATTTGCAACAGATCTGACATCTCAGTTTTCAAGATTCTACCATTCACTGTTATGTGTGAAATCCTTAACTAAAGCTTAACATATTCCTTTGGTTTTATCTGTTCTATGCCAAAGTTTTCATAACTGAGTTAGTAGCCTAATCATTTATAACCGTATAAACCAGGTGGTCAGAAATGATGTAAATTAAAAGAATACTCACTGATTGAGATATGAGAAGTTATTAAACAAGTTAGTAGGTACATTGATAATATCTAAAAAATTTTAAATAAAAAACCCCTAAGGACAAACCAAAAACCATGAACTTTTGTAGCTTAATTGTGTTTAGTTATTATTATTTTGATTTTTTTAGTACTTCTTAACCTTTCATAAATCTAGCTGAAATTACTATGTGCCTAAGCTAGGGACATTATACAGTTGTTGCCATGTGGAATGGGAGGTCCCACTGTCTTTGGTTAGTTTAGCATCAGCATCATTCAGTACAGGTGTATACCATTCAACTCAACTGACTTTAATATTCACTCATTAATTAAAAAATACATATACTGTCCTGGCTGGTGTAGCTCAGTGGATTGAACGCAGGCCTGCGAATCAAAGGATCGCGGTTCAATTCCCAGTCAGGGCACACGCCTGGCTTGCGGGCCATTTCCCATCAGGGGACACATGAGAGGCAACCATACATTGATATTTCTCTCTGTCTCTCCTTCCCTTCCTCTCTAAAGATAAATAAAATCTAAAAAAAGAATGAAAAAAAAATATATATATACTGAGCACTTCTTATGTGTGAAGTACTATGCTGTAGGGAACTGAAACGTGACAGTCCCTGTCCTGGAAGAAATAAGGAAGGTGGGGACAGGACAAGTTCATCGAGGTCAGATGGGGTATAGTGAGTGAAAATAAGGCCGCGTGGACTCAAACAATGGTCAAGCCTTACACTAGGGGGCGCTGTGCTGTCTAATGAGGAGGGGGAGTGACAGGGGTACTATTAAAGTGCCCACAATAATGGGAAAATCAAGATCTTGTACGTGGCTTTAGAAAGATAAAGTTTTTATCAATTCGAATGGGTGAAGCACACAGAGAGAAGCATGGGCTTACTACGGAAACATAACTAGTCAACAGTAACTTCAAAGTAGCATATTGAGTATTGAGAATGTTAGTCACTCATCAGACTTTTATTTGTACCCTTCTTGGGTGGTCCTGTGCTAGGCTGAGGATGTGGAGACAAATAAAACATGGTCCAGAAGGAATTTTATTTTGGAGAGAGAAGGCAGGCAAATTTGGAGCTTGGAAATTTTTCTAATAAAAGAGCAAGCCTGAATGCCAAGAGAAAGGAAATCAGATTTATTCTCCTAAAAAGGGACTATAAAATTACCCATACCTTTTCCTCACTAAGCTCCCAGTCAAATCTCTGGTTTGTTTGTGTAACAAATGTCCGCTGCCACTTTAATTCACATCCGTGAGTGAATGCCTCCGACTGGGTCTGGGGTGGTATATCTGTGCTGAGCTCCAGAAAGTTGAACTCTCATGTCCCTTCTAATCCTGTCCCGGACTCATTCTGATTGAGATTCAACTCCATCACTGCTTCAAAACAGCCTTTATCAAGGTCCCCTATTAGAGGCAATTTGTGAAATGCAAAGGTCAGTGTTCCGTCCTTGTCTTCCTCAATCTGCCAGCAAGCATCTGATGCCAGTGAGTGTTTTCTCTCTTTCGTCTTCTGGGAGCCTGACCACTCCAGCCTCCCTTGCCACCTGCCTGAACCTCCTTCTCAGTCTCCTTCGCTGGTTCTTCTTTGTCTCCCGATTGCGAAAAGTTGGGATGTCTCAGGGCTCTAATATTTAATATTTGATTTCTCTCTGCCTAGGTTTGAACCCCAGTTCTACCTCTTGCTAGCTATTTGCTCAGAAGAAAGTCACTTAATTTCTTCAAGATTCAGCTTCCTCTTTTATAAATTGGTAATAAAAGTAGCTACCTTTCACGGTGGTTATGAAGACTAAATGAATCCATGTAAAGTGCTCATAACATGCCAGACACTATATGCATTAATGATTCATCCTTATTCTTATCATCGTGTTCTTTATCACTCACTACCTACATGATTGCATCAGGTCTCAGTGGCATTCAATTTTATTTACACACTATCACCTTTAAATTTGTCTCTAGCCTAAACTTCTGCTGTAACTCCAGAATCATATATTCAACTATTGGCTCAATATCTCCATTTAAATTTCTAATGATCATTAAAAATTTCACATGCCAGAACTTTTCATGTTTGTCTAGTTTTCTTTATTTCAGTGTATGGTAATCTTACTATTCCAGTCGTTCAGGCTTGCTTCCTACTGTAGGTCCGAATCCATCAGGAAGTCCTCCCATCTCTACCTTCACACCCAGAATCTAACCACTTCTCAGCAGCCCCCTGCTACCACCCTGCTCCAGAACATCACCGTCTATTGCCTGGATTACTGCAATGGGTCTTTTCCACCAATATTTTCTCTTCTCAGCACCGTAGCCGCTGTGATAATGTGCTTATTATATTAGTTGTATGACTTTGAACAAGGGACTTAACCTTGCTAAGCTTCACTTTTACTATCTTTCTGTAAAACAGGAAAGTAATAATACCCTCAGATTATTGTGAAGATTGAGAATGCATACAAAGCACATTGTAGAGTGACTGGCAGCCTTTCGAGAATGAATAAGTGGTGGCTTTTAAAACTCAAAACCATTTTTTGGATTGGGCTGTCTGTAGTTTCTTTATTTTTTTTAATTAAAAATATTTGATTTATTTTTAGAGAGAGGGGAAAGGAGAGAAAGAGGAAGAGAAACATCAGTGTGTTGTTGCCTCTCTCTTACCCGCTACTGGGGACCTGGCCCACAACCCAGGCATGTGCCCTGACTGGGAATCGAACCAGCGATCCTTTGGTTCACAGGCCAGCACTCAATCCACTCAGTCATGGCTAGTTTCTTTATTTTTAAAAGTATGGGGATTAAAAAAAACTGTCTGAAAATGGCATTCATTGATTCCATAGATACCGTTTCTCAGGCCAGGTGCTCCGGTAGAACACAAAGATGGAAGGAACGCGGCCCCCACCTTCAAGGGCACCACAGTGCCTGATGTTAGAAATAACATAATCCTGGGCTGATGTCGGAAAACAAAAGTAAAACCGAAGAGAATAGCACATTTTCCCACAACCCACAGAAAAGAGGCCTTACAGGTGAAAATTGAGCTTATGAATCAAAAACCTTATGGTTTTGTGTCCTTTTCTACCTTCCTTTAAAATCAACATCCGCAGTTGTTAAGATTTAAGAAGTTAGATTGGCATACATGTAAATACTTCGTGATCTGTGTTAGTCTTTATTTCTACCACATGGGAGACACTGCTTTGTTTTTCCTGTGTGTTGACTGTCATTTCCTGAGCTGCGCTTGTTTTTTAATTTAGTAGTATCTACTTATCTGAAAAAAAAAAAAAAAAAGATGGAGAAGTCAGTCTAATGAATTCAAAAATCTGAAATACAGAATACAGTTATTTCTGTTAACTAAAAACTTTAAAAACTATCCATAAAATAAGTGATTGAAATAAGTAAAATTACATTGATAATATAGCTTTTTTTCTTAAGAAAAGATAAAGATCCTTTGGACAGAGAAGCGCTCATTTTTAAAATCTAGAGGTTGAAGAGATTGTAAAAGGAACCTCTACATTTCTTAAAATTTTTGTTTTAAGCTATTTCTACCCAAGTAAGAATTGAATAAATCAAGACGTCAAGATTAAGATGATGATCTTTTATTCTTTAAGACTTGTAGACAGACATGGCATTGAACTTTTTTGAAAGTTTGTATCTGTGCTAAACCGAGCCCTAAAATAAGTCACAGGTATATGAGATTTACATGCACATAATGTATGCTTGTTGAAATAAGGGGCCAAATAACTTTCAAATTGCTTCAGTAGTAATATGAAGTCTTTATTAGTAACAAACCTGTTTTCATCATTTAAAATAATTGTCTGCCTTTACCCATGCATAAGCAATTCACAGCTTCATATTTGGGAGCCACTTTCTAAAATTCAGAAGATTTCAATATGGTATATATATCATCATTTTTGCCCTTCCTTTGCATTTGCCGTTCTTAATGAGGCCCTGATATTTGAAATGCCATTGTGATAGAATATGTCAATCAAAGGATGAAATCATTAGAACACATTGGGTTATCTTTGAAGAAATTTCTCTCTCTAAATTCTACAATATAAAGGGTGGGACAAAAGTAGGTTTACAGTTGTGAGTATGCAAAACAGAGTTTATTCTTATTATTTATTAGCTATTGTATTATATTCTATATGGATGACTAGACACCTACTTTTGCCCCACCCTGCACTGAGAACTAGCAGGGCTTGGGACTCTCTGGGTGGATATAGGAACCAGCACATGTCACCCTGAGTGTCACCCTGTCACTGTCCACCATGTCTACAGAACAATATTAAGAAGATGCTTAAAGGGAAACAGAAGTGACAAAAGCATAGGCAAAAACTCAGGAGTATATGTGGATGCCAGGGGATTACTTTGTGTGGACCTTTGTTATTTTTCGGCCACACTGTTTTCCGCTGGTGCATAACCTCTGGCCCATGGTGTGCATCTGGGTGGGGCCCTGTTAAACTAAGTGCTCAGTGCTAAACTAGCAGCCTTTGGTGGCAGAGTGACAGAGGAGGGACAGAAGGGTGGGCACCTCCATTCCATCACCAGAGCCCTGATGAGATGGGCATGTGGTTCCTGCCAAGGCCATTCCTGGTTCTCTAATCTTCCCTTCTCAGTCCCTAAATGTGCACATGTATGAATGCACACACATTGGCTATGTCGGGAGAGGCTGCCAAGAGAAGTTCTACTCTTCTGTAGTTCACTGCCAGCTAGTGTGTCAAAGAAATGAGAACGCAGTAGGCCAGGGCCACTACATGCAGCGATGCGGATTTGCACTGCGCATCGAACGTGAATGGGGTCCCCGACACCATGAGGTGTACAGTTTTTACAGCCATATGTGGCAGCCCAGCAGGTACTCTGTCAATGTTCATATAATATGGGTATGAAAGAAACAGGCCTTGGTTGCGTTGGCTAATCTAGGAAAGCATGTTTGCAAAGAGTAAGACGAGGGAGGCAAAGGGTAAGAGTAGGAATGAGAATGAAGGGAATCACTTGTAAAAGCAAAAGCAAGCGATTCTCTTCCAGTGCCTTATCTGAAGCTCCCTCTTTTCCCGTGCTGCTACATCGTGACCCGTGATGGATGCAGGAGCAGCAACCCCAACCAAGCCTCAACTTTCCAGTCCACCTCTATTGTTACTACAATAGAAGCAATGAGAGTCAATGTTAAAAGGTTCAATTTTATTGACAGCTTTCTGGGAAAGTGTCATGTCTGCCCTTTTATCTATAGAGATTTATAATTGTAAAAAATTACCTTTAGGTTGTCTTACATGTTTTTTTTTCCATTGGCCTTTTCTTTTTCTGTTTTCCTTTCCTTTCCTCACATCCATTCCCCTGAGAAAAGGGGAGACAGATGAGGCACAGGCTTGAGGAAATCAGAAGAGGATTTGGCATCGGGGAGAGAACCAGAGGGCAAAAAGAAAAATGGTGCGGAAAGAGGAAGAGAAGGGGCGAGGAAGAAAGGAAAAAGCCAGAAGCAGGAGAGCAAAAACGCACAGAAGGAGAGGAATCTTATTCTGGGTCTTAAATTCCAATGGTGTTTTAACCGCCTCATCAAAAATGTCTTTATTCTTTCCAATGGAGCCCATTGCTAAATTTCCCAAACAGGTTCTTCATTTCATCAAGATAGAATAAACCTGGCTGCTTAGGATTCCAAGGAATTTGATTAGTGATCAGAGAAATGTGGGGAGGGGTGGGGAAAACATTCCCAGTATTTCTTAAGTATTTTCCCCTCTCCTTTTCTTGAATCTCTCTATTTGTCTCATTTCTTTTCACCTTGGAAAATAACATAGGATTGTAGATAAGCCTATTGTTTGGGCTCCCTGCAAGGAAATCCGCGAAGGCAGGGAGAGTACAGCCCAGGAAGGTACATGAAAAAGTCAGGAAGGGAGGTGGGCCCTGCCTTGTAGCTCTTTTGTAAAAGAACACTCGAAGTGCCACTTTACCAAAAATCTGATTCAGAAAAGAGAAAAAGGGTGATTCTTTTCAACTGCTGAGAAGTTTGAAAGATGAATTAGAGACTGTGGCCCCCCAGCTAGCCATTGGCCAGAATGGGGTGACTGTAAATCTGACGAGGTTCATAGTTCCAGGGGGTTGGTTTTGCAGCAGCGAGAATGCATGACACAGGCGTCTGCCCAGAGTGGGAATCAGATGCACAGACTCAGTTTTAGTCTACACTCAGTCTGCGTTCAGTAGGACGAGGGATGATGGTTCTACTAATCTTTGCTTTTCTTGGGGTAGAGTATGAAGCATGAGGAAGAGAGTATGAAAGGGGGAAAAGAAAGTGATTCAGAGTGTGAAAAAGGGGAAGGAAATACAAATTAGAGGGAAAATTGCAAAACTATACAATCCTAAGTAAAGAAAAATGGGAAGATATAGAGGAGAAAAACGGAAAGAATAAGAAAGTACATGAAAGAAAACAAACAGGGAAAATCATTAATACTTTGTGAAAACTGCATACCAGGTTTGCAGCCTGCACTGTCCTTGTGATTTAACAAGCTGGGGGGGGGGGAGGATTTTGCTGTGCGTGGACTGCCCTTTGCTTTGCTCCTTTTTTCCAGAGCCCCATTTTCAAGCTGCCTGCTACGTTCCCAAAGATGGGCCACCGCAACCACAAACATCGCAGCTTATAGAATCATAACAGGTGAAAGGGCACGGAGACAGCTAATCGTGCCCTCCTCATTCCCCCACCCATATGCACACACATTCGGCAGTTGAGCAAACTGAGGCCCGAAGACATTCAGTATGGCATCCGGGAAACAGAGGAAGTGTAGTTTCAGTTAGAGGTCAAATCCAAGGCTTTTGTTTCTAAGTTCTGTGTTTGACAGTAGACTTCTTCATGCACCCAAACTCTTCCAATTCCTCTCCCAGCCTGTTTCATGGACTCACTACTGTCTAGTCATGTTGCCCCTAAACTCTGTCATCTTCCGTTTTTTATCTTGTCCCCACAGATAGTTAGTCAACAAATCTTGTGGACTCTGTAATCATGTCCTTTTGTCTCACTGCTTCTTACAACACCCACCCAGCCCAAGGCTTTGGCTCCCTTCATTGGGACTATTATGCTGATTTCCTAGCTCTAGTCTCTGCCAGCTTCTCTTAGAAATTACAGTTGTCTTAAAACATAACACTAATTTTGTCATTTCTCTCTTTCAGTGCCTTCTCCTTATCTACCAAACGGTAATATCCACACCCCCCAGCACAGCCCCAGACCCGCATAGTCTGGCTCCCGCCTTGCCTTCCGGCTGCATCTTTAATTATCCCTGTAAAGGAGCAGGCCCTGCACTGTCCCCTCCGTTTGATTCTGTTCACACTCTTCTCTGTACCCCCATGTTCTCGTTTCTCCTTCCCTAACTCATAGCCTCCTTCAGAGGATCTTTCCTGGTTTTCTCTCTTGAGCTAAAACTAGGTTCTCCATTTTTCTCTTCAAGTGCCTATACCATTATAATTTATGTTATTTGTGCACCTATCTTTAGGCCAGGTAATATGTCCTGTTATTTATTTAGTTTTGATCTCTTCCAGAGTCTGCCATTGCCTCATACATAATAGACAGGTATTGAATGCCTGTTCAGTTGAACAAAATTGCATTTGTGCCAAGACAAGTGAAAGAATCAGTCACACATAGGATGAAGATAAAACTATTGATGTCCTACATTAATTTAAAGTTTCCAAGGCTTAAATCATGAGTGCTTCAGAGTATGTGTAGTTATATGCTAACACACTATGTGTTATTGATAAAGCTGCTGCTAGATTGATCCTTGTCTTTAGAGAATGGGAGGAAAATATTTGCCAGTTGGATATCTCTGGAATTTTTACAAATACACTTTGGTTTTTCTTTCTTTTTTGTTTTTTCGGCAAATACAGCTAGCCCCTACTCAATCTGGGCTGCCACAAAAACAGGGAGTGCAGGGATTTTTTTCTTTCACGTCCCAGTGCAAACCAAAAGAACAACACTAGATTGTTTAAGGTCTGTCGGTGGACGCAATCACTTTGGTTTCTTTTTGAAGTAACGTTTGGGGTAGAAATTGACAGATGAAAAGTCTATGTACTACAGAGGAGATTTTGCATTTTTCTTGTAAGCCACAACAGCATTTCCCCATGATGTTCTCAGGTTCAATACTGTGGGCTACAAAATAGGTGAAGTCACACTCCAGTGAAGTTGATCTGACACTTCGGACACAGCCCAGCGGGAAGGCCCAGAGTTGGGTCCCATCCGTACAAACGCTCACCCTTTAATTATTTGCCTTTTTGAGGAGGTCTTTTATAAATGTGGCTAAAAATGCCTTTTAGTGTTGGCTTCTAAAGTGGAAGTATTTTTTCCCCCTCTCCACTTAGGGCCAGTGAAGTGTGCCTCTGTGTTCTTCCCGTGACGTTCCTCGTGTGCATGACTGGAGCCGAGGTCTGGGCCACCCCTGGTTAGACAGTAACTTGGAAGTGAGTCAGCAACAAGCAAGGGAAGCCACCTCCACTGGTGCCTGGCGGACAACCCCCACATCAGAAACTTGTGTTACAGTTTTAAAATCCTGGGACATGAGAATTTGTAAAGAAGAAACTGCCAGACAAAACGTTAAATGGTATCACCTGACCGCAAAGCAGAGGCCAAAGCTGAAAGTAGGAAGAAAAGAGGGGCCGGCTGATTTCAGATTTACCAAGAGATTTAGCTGTGGCCCCCTCCCCTTCCAAATCAGCATGGACAAGGGGCCCTATTGTTCGGGTTCTGCCTGCAGAGCTAGCTTGGGAGTGGTTCATGCCCAGAGAGTTAGATACTGGGAGCTAGGCACCTGAACTCTGCCAGACAGAAAAATGTGAAGAGATGCCTCCCTCTTGAAAGACAGCGTGAGGACAGGCTTGCGAAGAGCTTCTGCAGTGTGAACCCCCTGAGTGGAGCAGAGGCAGCACAGGGGGCGCTTCCAAAGACCTCGCCCGATTCCTTTGCTCTCGACTACTCTGTTCCAGGACCCAGAGGTGACTCCTGGATACCAGGGATTTCAAAGAAATGTAGTGGAATTTGTTCCCTACCTGAAGTATTTGCATCGGTTCTCATGTTCCTGTAAAAATAAACAACACATTTCAAAAATTTGCCAGTGTAACCACAAATATTTAGAACATAATTACAGGGTGTGAGCTAACTGACCATTCTCTAAATGCTTTGTAGGTAGTCATGAGAGATGATTGGCACACCCAGGGCATTGGTCATGATAATACATATTGAAGCAAAGTTACCTAAATTCCTGTACCGTGCAAGCTATCCACCCTATAACAGCCATACAAGTACATGGTGTGTAATGATACATAATGTATTTAAATTGTGTGTAATAATACATAATGTATATTGTGTGTCACCTGTCGCTCAGTGAGGCTGGGGTGTCCCCATTCTGTTTCCTCTCCAGCCCCTGAAAACTTATTTGGGGTCAAGACTGAGAGAAGCTCAGGGGCTTGGCTAAACAGTCAGCTGTGTTGGGGATATAAGCTTCCACAGAGGCTGGGGGGAGACACAGGAGTGGATGGGCGCCTGGGGCTGGAAGTTTGTTCTCACAGTCTCTCGTGGCCCTGATGGGGCCACAGTGCCTGGGAATCTTGCAGGTGAGGGGAAGCAGAGTTTGTCAACCCCCAAATACGCCTTTTAGAAAGATAGATTATTTTAAGAGGGTTATTTTTAAGAAACAAAAGACCCAGAGAGAACCTTGGACCCCTCCCCCTTACCTGCCTAAAGGAATTCAGATAGAAAAACCTGCCCGGAGGAGGAGAGCTGTCAGCTTAGTGTCATGATACGGTCTCAGTGTGACAGGAAGGAAGAAGCCAAGCCCAGCCGGTGTTTAGACTCCCCTCAGGGTCGCACCGTTCCTGGGTGTCCTGGCCAGATCCGTTTCCCTAACGTTTGCTCTTTCTCCTCCCCCTGCACATGGCCTACTTTCCCCTGGTGACCCAGACCCCTGCCTCCCTCTTCTTGGTCTAGAACGGCATCTGAACTTCAGCCGCCTGGTCTGTCCGAGAGCCCTACATTCTCAGGGAACCCATGTATGGACATATGGAATGAATTTGGTTATTTGCTCTTGTTAATGTGTCTCATGTTAATTTGATTATTAGACCAGCTAGATGAACTTGAAGGGTAAAGGGAAATTTATTTTTCCTCCCCAACACAGGTGAAGTACTTGCCCAGGTGATTATATTTCTTATGGTTTAGTGGCTAAAATAGGAGAGAAGCTGTCAGTTTTTCAGACTATTTTACTTTCAGTAATGTCTTTGGATAAAGAAGTTTGTTTTCTGCACTTCTAATTTTAAAAGTTAATAGCAATAATTAAAATACTTATTTTCTTAACCTCATTGGCATGCTAAACCATAAATCTAACTCACCTAATTTTCACCAAATCTTTGTTTCTTTGTCACATGTTCAATAACTATGTTGGAACTGTTGCTGTTTTACTAAAAGAAAATAATTACCCTTAGATAATGCCTTCACAGATAAGTACAAAGACATAATTATGATCCATTTCAAGGGTTCTGGCAAATACATCCAGTTCCAGTCCTACTAATGGACCTTTTCAAAGTAAAGGTTAAATTAGTAATTTTTTGAGGAGTTTGCAAATAAATGTTCATGTAGCCTTTACTAAATAGGTCTGGTGATTTAAATGAAGATTAAGCTTAATGATAAAAGTTTTCAAGAGACTAAGAAATATAAAATAAATGTACTTTAAATAGGTGCAAATTGAAATAAAGCCCGCCATTGTCCTCCATAAAGCAGAGGGAAGAGTCACACTAGTACTATTATCACGGCATGAAGAGGAATATTGATGCTTCACGAAGTAAATCCTTCACTTCTGAAGGACCTAAAGTGACGTTACAGAGGGCTCCACGGTCTTCCACTTATCTCGATTTGAATTTCTGAATTTCCATTTTAAAGAATAATGAATTTGTGGACAAAATATCTAACAAGGTCATTGTTGAATTTTTTTCATTGTTCCAAAGTACATGGTTATAAAGTGTCACTGAAATTCATGGTCTTGAAGAAGAAAAGTATGTGGAACATATCTGTCTCTCTCACGATGCCTGGCGCGGTCTCCAGATCTTATGATAGTTTACAGGGAATACTGTCCCAGGAATAAAGCACCAGTGAATTCCACTCTATTCTTAGATTGCACCTGTCATTCATAATGAACATTTTCAAATTTGCTCTAGCTACTAATTATATTCCTGATGTACAACACTGGCAGTAAAAAAGAATCCAGGCCTGATTAAATTGGGCTAAAGAGGATTACTTACAACCAAAACTTGGTTTTTGCTTTGTGTTTTAAATTTTTAGCTATTTAATTTTCTCCCTAGTCAAGTCAGCAGATAAATGACTCAGGAAGGTGAGAGACTGGCAGATGGAGCCTTGAAGATTTTGGGATTTGCTAACCTTCTAGATCCCTTCTATCTTCAAAATTCTGTAATTTTTTGCTATTTAAAGCAATTTTTTATTTTAAAGTGATCATAATAGTGAAACCAACAACTTTGCATTTGCAGAGCATTTTTCATTGTAAATCCTTTTTATCTCACAATTTTAATATTTTAAAAAGCCATTAGGAGCTAATCTATTGCTCAGAGGATTTTCAGGGTAGTGAGACTGGTCTGTATATAATGGTAGATACATGTCACTATGCATGTGTCAAAACCCATACAAACCCCCTTCTTATATTTAAAAAGAATTTATACAGAATTCGTTGCATCTCTCATTTTCATTTTTGCTAATATAAGCATTTAGCTCTACATTTTTCTCAGGTTTCTTTTTAGGTGTTATTCTAGAATGACAGATTAACTTTTTGTCATTTTATAATACTATAGTATTCTCTCCCATGCATCTTGCAATGGAATATTCAAATTGCGAAAATAGTTTCTTTCAGATGAAATGATTAGTTGGAAATGTTGAAAAGTATAAGGGGTATGTAAAGGAGAAAGTATGGAGGAGTATAAAAAAGAAAAAGTACCCATCATCACTCTGGAACTTGAGTCCCTGAACTCGAAAATGTGGACCCTGTGATTCTGGTCTGTTGCTTCAGCACAGCCAACCCTGGACAGCCAGCCCAGAATGCCAAGTGAATGGTGTGGGAAGTGGGCACGAAATTAGACGAGGTTGAACCAAATGTGGATAGTTAAGAGTTGACTACGTCATTCGCTTGTATTGTATCTATATCTGGAACGTTCCGTGACAAACGCCTGAGTGGCGGGGACTTCCCAGCTTGGGCTTATTTAATTACCTCCCGTCTTAGCATCCCCAGCACGTCCCTGTCTCTCGTACCTGGATTCTTCAGCCTTGAGAGCTGTGCTTTTAAAACCGGTTGACGTTATTTCTGAGGTTTTATCACTCATCTCTTTGAGTGTATTTGTCTCACTTTTTCCTGGAGTCAAGGTAGTATGAAAATATTTTTCTCCTTCAAAAGGGAGTGTTGCATTTAAGATGCTGATGTGTTCTGAGCATGCTTTGAACTCATTCTTACTTTCTGTATCTCGTACACAGCCAGGCTGCAGGATGTTTTCTGTTTGTTCCTTTGAAAATAATAAGCATGAGCAAGTCAGGTAACAGAAGAGCATTATACAAAAACAGATTATTTGTGGAGCCATGTCTAAAACAGTAACCACCACTCCATTCCGATTTATTGAGCGCCCTCAAGTGCACAGGTGCAATGAGGAGGGGACCAGGCCCAGGAGGCCTGGCGGGTGTTTGAGGCCCGGGTCCTGACACAGTCCTCTGAAAAGCCCATGTGGGCATGCACCCCTAGGTCACCTCCCACAGGAAAATTAGTACTTAATTACAATACCTCCTCTCCCTGAATTGTCAAGGAAAGGAAGGTTTTCTAGAAACACCTTGCTACCTACTCCCCAGTCTGAGGCTGTTCTTGATTTAAGAGCATCCAGGAGGTGAGAGGGGTTGAAGGTTCATAACGATACCAGATCTCAGAAGGCGTAGGACTTCTACCTAAAACTGAATACCCTCAATTCTCTCCTGTTCTCCTGATGCCCTGGTTTCCGTGAATGCACTGCCTCTCCAGTGGCTCACTGCCTTTCTCAGGCCTCGGAGCTGGGTCGGCCGTTTCCACGCCACGTCCCTCCAACAGCCCGCCCACCTGCCCTTCCCTAGTCCATCAGCTCAAAATAATGCAACAATTTCCCTCCTTAAAAACTTCATTTTGTCTGACAACAAAAGTCATATATATTTACCATAGAATAATTTTTAAAAACAATAAGAATAAAGTGAAAAGAAGAAAAATATTGCTTGCTTAAGGCCATTGGCCAGAAATAACTACTTCTGTGGCACATTTCACTTGGTCTTTTCATCCATTTATTTGTTTTGTATATGTATACTTTGCAGTTTTATTTTCATTTCATATCCTACACTTTTCACTTAACTATTTATTCTGTTTAATGCTAATAAGCATTCTCCTTATTATAAACTGAATTATTCTAGCTAAAAATTAGATTTTTATTGTAGGAAATGGAACATTCAGGAAAGTGTGAGGAAAATATGAATTGCCTATGACTCCCCCATCCCAATATGTCTTTTCCCTCTTCTATTGTCTTAACGTGTATAAAAGTATTTTATATAGTAGGAATTACATTCTTAATTTTCACTCGACTTTATATCATGATGATTTCTCCAAGTAAGGAAAAACTCTTCAACAATTTTAGTAGCTACACAGTATTGATTTAGCAAATATTTACTAAGCGCCTATGATCTAGCCAGATACGTACTATGGCCACTCCTGAGTAAGACAGATGTGGGGACGGCCCCGCGTGGGACCGCTCCTCATGGATTCAAATCTATGCAGCCATTTCCCTTGTAGTGGACATTTAGATTATGACCATAGTTTCATTTTTCTAATAAACATGGTACAGATGTGGTATGAGTAACATCTTTATAGCTAAATCCTCATTCTTATTTCTGATTAATTCCTTTAGGAAGATTCTTAGAAGTGGGATCAGTGAGTCAGAGGTTATAAACATTCTTAGGTTCTTGATTCATGATGGTTTCAAGCAAGCCTGTACCAACTCTCATCCCTCCCGTGAATCTGTATGAATTCCATGTTGACCAGAGCTTTGCTAACACTGACTGTTTTTATTGTTTTCATGAACAGTTTTATAGGTTAGATTTTTTAAAGTTTGCATTTCTTTGATTATTAGCGAGGCTAAACTTTTTCCACCATATTTACCGAAAGTCTCTTCTCTGAGCCTTCTTCCTTGCCCTTTGTCATTTTTTAAAACTTGTGGGCCCCATCGAGGTTTTCTGCAGTAGCCTTCAAACTGATTTCTTTACCCACAATCCAACCTGCCATCAAATTAATCTTTTAAAAAACACAGCTCCTTCATACCTTTTACAGAAAGGGGCATTGTGGCTAAATTTTGCCCAAAGACTGAAACCCACACTTCTTATTTCAGCATGCAAGGTTTGCAAGCAACTTATCATCCTGTATCTGAATATTCTCCACACACCTTACGCTCCAGCCAAACTGAACTGCCAATGCTAGGATACGGCTCTGGGTTCTTTCCGGATCTGACCTTTCCTACAGCCACTCCTTTTGGTGTTTTGGTGTCCTATTTCCATGCTCACTTTCACCTATTGAAGTTCCACCCCATCCTTCAATGCACTGCATCCTTCTCCACATTTAAACCTTAACGTAGCCCTTACGTGGTTCTAATATTGTCTGAAAGTTGAGGAGACTGAGGCTCATGCAGGCTCAGTGACTTACCCACACTGCTCTGCAGCAGGGCAAGATTCCAGCCCCGGCCTCTGACTCTGATCCCACAGCTCTTCCCCCCGCCCCCCCCCCCCCCACAGCTTTCTGACACTGTGGTAAGTTTGGCAGTGAGGGTGGTCACTATCTATTTCAGGAGACACCTGCTGACTCCTTACCACCAGGGTTCCAGGCTCCGATCTCATTGTTGGAATTAGGTGGTGATTCAGAGCAAGCTCCACGGCATTTTATGATCCACATCAGGCAGCTGACCAGAATCTCGATGATCACTCTTATCCTTGGTCATTTAAAGACTGAAAGTCTCCCGTGCCACCTACCTTTTCCTTGGCCCTTAGTATGTCGTCATTTTCAAAGACCACTTTGACCTCTGAACTGTTTGTGACATCATGGAGGTCTGTCACTTCTGTGACTTCTGTGAAAATTTTGATGTCCGGGGCCTCAGCGACCTCATTTTCTGGAACATCTGTGACATCGGTGATGTCGGTGATGACTGTTAATTCCGAGAACTCGGCGCTCTCTACAGCACGTGGCGGGTCTGGGCCTGGGTACAGCTGCGGGGCCCGTGGGGCTGCAATGTCCATGATGTCCATGGAGCCCGTGACATCCGTGCTATTTGTGATTTCCGAGAGGCTTGAGACTCCCGACACTTTGGAAGCTCTGGCTTTCTCCCGATTCAGGAGGGAGATGAGCCGTTCCCACTGAGAAAACAAGGCGTCCTGCTTGCTGGCGGGGGCGCAGAGCTGTAGGTAGTAGGCTCGGCCACTCACCAGCTTTACTTTGAGGCGCATGGTCTTTGCGTCATGCACAGACAGAGTCACAAACTGCAGGGGGAGGAACCTGCAAACAGGTGCACAGGTCATCTCAAGGCCCAGATGGAAAGCTATCAAGGGCCTTTCCATTAATGTCTTACAGTGGTTTGAAGAGTGAGACTTGGGACAACAGGGTTTCCTCACACACAGGCCTGGGCAGGGGTGGGCATGGGGCGGGGAGGGGTGGGGCCTTCTTGTAGCTGCTACGTTCCCAGGTCTGGTCCTAGGGGGTCATCTTACCTGAATCCCACTCCTAGGGCTGTGATGTACTAAAAAAAAAAAAAAATCAGAGTATCGGCTATTTACCCCAAGGAGCTGTCCTATTTTATCCTGCAAAATTGAGACTTAGAGAAAGAACTCCAGCAATTTGCTCTAGGCCATATAGCAAGTTGGTGGCTTGAGACAAGACCAGAGATAATTTTGATAGAAGTTGGCATGCTGGGGGAAAGGGGCATGTTCTAGAGGGGCAGTTTGAGTCTTTAGTTCCTGCTACTTAAGATTAATTTTTTAAAGTTAACCTCCTGTTTGGCTGCTGCCAGGTTGCCATACAGTATTTTCCCAGGATTTGAGGGTACGACTCGACCATTCGCGGCAGGGGGGTTCCAGGGAGAAGCTCCCTTGGAGCAGCTGTTTCCATTGTCAGCTCCTCAGGGGCAAAATGCATTTTCTGAAACATCTTTCACCTCTTCCTTTGTAACTCACCTGGTGAGCACCAGTTTCTCAGGAGAATGAGATGTCAGGAGACTTTTAAACAGGGGTTCTGGATCTTTCCAGGCGGTGGGGGCCAGATGTGCCAGCAACATCACGTTGGGGGTCTTGTGGCTATGACTGGAAGCGCAGATGCCCACCGTCACCCAGTTGGCCCGGTTATGCAGGTAGATGGATTCACCTCTCCTGTTGACCTGAGACAGACAGAGAACAGGAAGAGAGGTTTTCTGACAAAGTGCATGGTCCCGGCAACCTTGCTGGCCTGAGCTGTGTAGGAAATGAGGGAGCAATGAGCCGTATGACGCATTTGTTCACTCACGTGTTCATGTGAATTCTTGGAGCTTTCACAGTGAGAGGGCAGACAGGGTCCCTGACCCATGGACCGCCAGGGGAGGCGAGCATTAAACAACTCTGTCACTATTACTGTTGGAAGAGGAGTTACCAAGTACAAGTTCAGGGTGCTATGCTGTGGCGCACACAACAGGGGACTTGACCTGGAAGGGGATGTGGGCAGCGGTGTGCTGGTGAATGTGTGCCAATGGTCTCTTGGAGGGTACACAGACCTATGTATATTATACATTTTATTGATATAAAACATAAGAAGCACACAATTTACAAATAGTGATATGCAACACCCTTTGTTTTAAATTCCATTCAGCCAACTGATTTTCACAAAAGTCTTTGCTGACCTTTGCCAGACTTTTGTATGAGCATAGATAATAGCAAAATGTAGTGAAATAATAGGATGATGAGTTTTAAGAATTTGTTGCCTTTGTTTTGAATATAACTTAATTTTAAAAGTTTTTGTGATTTAAGTTTTAATAATGGCTGTGTTTAGCAAGCACTTGCAAACTTCTTAAACACTTGCCAGTCGGCACGACGTAGGGCCAGAGCAGTCTTCCCGGGGAAGGGCCTCTCGCTGAGACTCGGACTGGCCGTGTGGACTGTCAGGCCGAGGAGCTGCTGAGTAACACCCGCAAGGCCCAAGACTCTCGGCCAGTAAAATCTCTGCCAGTTGGAAGAGGAGGGAGCCGGGTGGATGGGGATGGGAAGGGAGACCCAGAGGCTTTACACTACACTTGGTTTCTCCGCTGTGCAGTAACTGGTTCAAAAGTAAATAAATAAACTGCTTAAAAACAAATATACACTGAAAGATGTTATAGCCCACGCTATTGACTGATCTACTCAACGCCATCCCCTCTCCTTCCCAATGAAGAGAATTCTGGTTTTGTCCCGTACCCACCCCTCAGGGATGGTGTTCCAACCCAAGGGTTAAACTGTGATTGGTGACCCACCAATCACACTGGCAAGTGGTGACCCACCCCCTTGCCAGTGATTGCTTTCAGCAGTGGCATGTGACCAGGCCTGGCCAATGAGACACTAGTGGGGGTCTGCTGGGGGCTCTGGGCAAGGATTCTGAGCCCTTGCGAATGGCTGTAAAGACGAGAGGCATCCCTCTTGTTGCTGGCAGCTGTCGTTGTCCTGTCTGCATGGGATGCTGGAGGGGAGCTGACCTGAGGGTGACAGAGCAAAGAAGGAGGCCTGGGTCCCGGGTGGCTCCCTCATGGGGAGCTGATGCCCCGAGGCTCTTGCATTCTATTCAAGGTTAACTATTATTCTTTTTTCATTTAAACTTGTTCATTCTGCAGAAGGGAATAACCCTCTCCAATTATGCCTGATCTGGGGCCTTGGATGGACTGTAGAATGCTAACTGCCCCCAAGTGTTCATCAGAACACGCAATGGTTATTTGAAAAGTGTGCAAGAAGAACTGCAAAAAATAAAGTAAAAAGATTGTTAGCAGGAAGGAAGCATATGGAAAGTAAAGTATATAAAATTATGACTTAATCACGTGTTCTGGGATATCACTTAAACATTAGTGTTCATCGAGGTGTCACCTCCAGCCTATGGTTCTGGAGGTGAGGAGGTCTCTCCGGTTCCCAGGTGTAGGTGCAGAGATGATGCCATGTCTGTGGTCTTGCCTGTCACCCCTCGGTGGATTCCGCTGGGGAGCTGCTGGAATGGGTTGCGTTTCATGTTAGACTTGGTTGTAGCATTTTAATGAAGTTTAGAGGTGTGGTCCACACCATTTAACTCGTTTCCCAATTTATTTGTCTGAATGTTTTAATGTCAAACGTTCAAAGTTAGAACTGCCCCCAAATGCACTGAAATGTAGTTTCACTCAGAATATAGGTACGTTTTTATGAGAGGAAACTTTTCTCTCTGGCACAATTTGACAATTATATTTTACCTTCAGAAGTGAGAGTGAAAATTCACTTTAAATGCTGGTTGTGTCATAGATATTATTCTTTAAAATGTCTTCTAGGTGTAAAGAAGTTTGGGTGCTTTCCCATGGCAGGACATCCTAAAAATGACCATTGTCCCCTCATGTAATTTTGGCAAGATTATGATAGACAATTATAGGAAAGTTAGGACAGACTTCCCATGTTAGAGTTGGGAAAATTTGAAATGAATTTTTCTTCAACAGTATAATTATTTTCAGTTGTTTAAAATCCCCAAACTGTTCCCTTTAATGGTATCACACGCACCCTTGTCACAGGTAAAGCAATTCCCCTCCCAACCTGTTCAGTCATCGCTGAGTAAGTTAGTGACTGAAGTAACTACAACATAATTCAGGCTCAAATATTTACCTGGATAAAGTTGCCCTCTAACATGGGCGGAGTCACAAAAGGGGCAAACTCCCCTCCATCCAACACGTTTTGGAAATCTCCTGGACCATGCAGGGGTGGGATGCAGAAGGCTTCTTGCTCACGGGTCCTCGCAGTAGACTTCCTTTTGTTCTTCTTCATGGTGCTTACACACCGTCCTCAGAAAGCCGACCAAGTGGACACACCGTGAACAGACACAGGGAAAATTTAATGTAACACATAAGGAGCCTCACTTATTCATTCATTTGTTCAACACATTTCATCAGCATCTACGATCTGCCAGGTGTTGTGCTGCACACTGGAGACACATCTGAGCAGGACTGATAGCATCCCTCCCCCCATGCAGCTGGTGCTGTGTGGGGAACAGGGAGTGAGCAAGTGAAAAAAATGATGTTGGATGATAAGGGCCACAAAGACTCTAGACCAGACAGGTGGGATAGGAAGCGCCTGGGGTGTGGTGCTGGCAGCGCTAATTAATTAGGGTGGTTAGGGAAGGCCTCTCTAGGAGGCCTCGAAACATATGCCCCGTGTCCCCCAAATCATTAATCCTTGTCTTCCTAACCAATACCCTTTCCATTGTTCAGGGTTCACAAGTCTTTTTTTATAAGTAGCGTATCAAAACTATACTAAACTGAGGACATTTCTTCCTGATCATTCACTCATGACCGAGCTTAGTTCTCGATGGGGAGGTGATGGTGCTGATCTAATCAATGACAGTTATTCATCTCCCGCTCTCTCTCTGGAACCTGCTTCAACAGACAACAGTGGCTGAATGTCATTAGATCTCATCCTTAGCGCATGTCAAGCATGAACATATCAGAAGTAAAATGAGTCAAGAAGAGCAAGAAAGTAAACTAATCCAGAGAAGCCAAAATGTAAGAAGAATGAGACAAAAAAAAGTACTCTGGGAAATTAAAAAAAAAAAGAGAGAGAGAGATAAAACAACAACCATTTAAAACAGAGAAGAAGGGAAATAATAATCCACAGAATTTTAATTTAGTTCTTGTTTTGTGGGAGACAATAAAGACGTTATATGTCCTGTCTCATTTAATTCTGGTAAGACTATGAAGTAGCATTATTAACATATTCATTTTATATACTATGCAGTTGAGGCTTGGAGAGGAAAGTAATTTACCCAACGTCGCGCAGCTTGCAAGTGCCCCACACACAGGAACAAGACCTGCATAGTCCGACTGGAGAAAGTTATGTTGTTGCTCAAGATTCAGTCCTGCCTTGAGTGCTTGGAAAGACGGACGTGAGAACTGGCAAGGGTTAGAGGGGTCAGGAGAGGTCGGGATGAATGGGAAAGAGAAAAAAGGAGGGAGAATCAAAGAATACAGAAGGTATTCCCCTTCCCCTTCTTCCTTTTCCTGTTCCTTCTTTCTATTCCTGAGCAATTTAGTTCTAAATCCACCAGCTGAACAAAAAGAGGCAGGAATCGGTAGTGGGGAGAGTGAGGAGCTACAGCCCAGAACCCAAGGGAGACAAGAGGGTGTCTATTACTTGGAGAGGGGTGGGGCCCCGTGTAAGGAATCAGAGCCTGAGCGGGGTGAGGCGGGCATCCAAGTGGGAGAGAGGAGGGTGGAAGGGATGGGTAACCAGTTACATCCAGGGGAACTGATCTAATGCAATAAGAGACCATGAGGCTTTATTCTGATATTAGTTAACTACTTAAAAGATTGATGAGGAACAGAATATGTACACAGTTTAAGTCAACATATTAATTTCAAAGGGGAAAAAGTGACTTTACAGTGAAGAAGAAAGGCAGACACCTCTTAATGAGGTGAGTTGTGAGCACTGTCAGCAATGGGACAAATCGAAACGCTGCGCCACCATGCAGGGTGCAGCGAGCAGCACGCAGCGTCTTCTGAGATGTTCCTCCCGAAGGTGCATGGCCTGAAACCTCATCATTAGGAAACATCAGGAAGATCCCCTTCAGGGAAAGTCCACAACATAACTGGCTTGTGATCTTAAAAAATGTCAATGTAATGAGAGACAAAGAAAGACTATGGCACTGTCCCAGACTGAAGGAGACTGAAGAGATGTGACAACTGAATGCAGTGTGTGAGGTTCTAAACTGGGTCTTCTAGTGGTGCAGGCCCTGACCGGGACGTTTGGCAAAGTTCGAATGGGAAGTCAGGCTTGGGTGGTGGTAGCATGCAATGTTCGTGTCCTGATTTCGATGGTTACATTTTGCTTAGGTAGAAGGACATCTTTAATCATAGGCAACAAAAACTAAAGTATTTGGGGATAATAGGGCATTGAATTGGGAAACTAACCTCAAAAGATTCAGGAAATAATATCCTGTAAGTTTGTGACAGTTTAAAAAATTAATGGGAATAATAATACAAAGAAAAAGTAAAAAGCAAAGAGGGGATGATGGGGGAGGGGAGATGAATGAATACTGAGGTTTAGGCCATGAGTGCAAAAGGCCATATTAAACCATTTCAGGTCTCCAAGGCCAGAGCTTTGCAACAGCAATGGAAGACTTTTTGTGGTGATGGATCATTAGGAAAAAGCCCATTTGCACATTGTGTCCTCCAAAACCTACTCAGTAGGACAAGACACTTATTCCACCATCACTCAGGGGCGGAGAGACAGTGAAGCTGCCTGTGAGAACCAGAGGACATGGCCAGTGCTCCAACTGTCACCTGGCTTCTCTGGGGTCCCAATATATGCAGATCTGCTGGAATGTGGCAAGAAGTCGTTAGAAAAGGCCGTTTTTAAAGGAGAGCACGGTGTAATGGGGAAGAAAAGCAAAGGTCAGCAGTCCCTGTGGTCAGGCTCACGACCTGTGTCACAGTAACAGTTCACCCTTCATTTCCCAGGACAGCTGTTATTTCCTACACTTCTGTCCCTCTCCACCAGACTCCTATCAGCTCACGTGTCCCTTCTTGACATCTAGGAAAATCGATCGTCATCAGCAGCATCTTTCTGGGAACACTGGATTCCCAGAAAAGAGAAAGAGGGAAAGAAAGCCTGGAAAGTAAAGTAGGAAAGGAAGGGGAAGGAAGAAAGAGACACGGGGAAGGAGCGTGTGGCTGGTGTAGCTCAGCGTAGCCCCACCTGGACGCGCCCGCACGTCTCACCTCAGGTCAGGGCCACAGCCCTCTCTCGGAGGCCACGTTTTTAACTCACTTCAGTTTGGGCTTCCTCCTTTTCATGATGAAGTCTTCCGTGAAAGATACAAAAAACAGGAAATAAAATTTTTAGTAAAATTTCAAGAAAATTTCAATACTAATCTTTAATCTTATTTCAAATGTGAGGTCTGTGGCTTAGAAAGCATTCTTCTAGCTGAACTTGGTGGGCGAAGTGGTCGGAGGGCTGCTGTCTGCACCTGGGCTGAGCGACCTAGTCACTGTCTTTTGGGGGGTGCAGCCAGACAGTCGTAAGTCTGTAGCCCACAGTGCGCCTGGAACTGCCGAGAAGTGAAATCCTAGGCTCCTGAGGATATTTGATAATGTGACAAAGGATGTAGTGTCAACTCCAATAACCTTAGCAATGGAAGGCAGTAACAAGCCTGAGAGTTTTCTTTCTGTGCATAAGCCACAATAGCCTAAAAACTCTCTAACTTCCTAGCTGGTTGTTCTTGTATGTATGTATATACTTATATATGCTTATGCTCACTATTTTGTCACTTGTGTATAGTTCTCATATCACATTATGATTACAGTCGCTATGGACAATTCTATCTTGTCTCCGTGAAATTCTGACTTAAGTAACCCCTTCGGGAAGACGTGGACCAGGTGAACTATGACTGTAGTCACCGTCAGAGCTTACGTGATGTAAGGCCAGTATGGAAACTGGTCTGGTGGGAATATGATAATGGATTCTAGAGTCGGACACATCTGGGTTCATAGTTGGGTTCTATCCCCTGCTACTTTCATGAACTTGAACCACGTTACTCACATCTGGGAGCTCACTTTCTCATCTATAAAATGAGGATTAAACTACCCAACTCAAGGGAGTGTCGGGATGTCTGAATGCACCGGCGCAAGTAAAACCCCCGGACACCGTGGCTCGATCAGCGAGCACCTAAGTGGTGCCTGTACTGGTCTGTGAAAAGTGTAATCCGCCCAGCACCTGCTGGGCTGGGTTCCCTCTCGAAAATGCTGGTTTCATATTTCCCAACTTTCCATTCTAAGACACACGTTTCTCCCAGACTCCGAAATGGAGTACATCTTGTGGTCAATGGGGGACAGTGGCAAGGTGGGTGTCATCTGGCTGCAAATGCACGGACTTAATCCTGGCTGTATTAAATTATGTACATGGATTGTATGACACAGGTTGCATTTAATGACCAATTAAAATGTGTTCTTCATGGGTAGCTGAAAACCTTAAGTTGATGTCTTCTGGTAAGATTAAGAAAATTCCAGGACAAAACATGCAGAATGCACGTTGGAGGCTCAGAAGGTCCCAGAGACTAGAGCGAAGCTCTCCTGTAAGGAGTACACAGGAGGATGGTGGTGCAGATGATGGGGATTATGTGGAAGAAATCTGAGTAATAAGAAAGCATTGCATTATGTAATTAGCATTTTTTCTCTCAGTCATCTCTAAAATAATGGTATATCTATAATGTATGCATCTTAGATTTGATAAAATGCAGTAGTCAACTCTTACTCATCCAGAAGTAGGTGATAAAGTACACATTCTTGAAAAAAAAGAAATGACAACGCCCACCTATTGAAGGGCGTGTCTGGTGTTTACGAGCACATGCTAATCAGTAGACGCCATCCGGGGATGGGGAATACCCATTTCCAGCGCAGTCATTTATGGGGCTTCCAGGACCCCTTTTATATGAGAACATCATCCCTCAGAGAGCAATCAGTGAATGATCTCCCAGGGGAGCTAGTGCGGCTGCGGATTCAGGGCCACAGAGAGGAAGGAGGAAATGACAGGAAGGTGAGGGCTTTGGCAGGTTTGCAGCGGTGGCTGGGACTTGCTTGAACTTGTCCCTCGCCGAACCTTGGAACAAAGGGGATGTTGCTAACGAGAAAATGTAACAAAATGTTTTATCTTCTCTGGTGTGATTTTTCTTTCTTTTTAGTTGTTGTTTCTGAACCTTTGCTCTTGAATTATTTTGACACCTTTGAACGATGTGTGTGGATGGTAAACGTGTGCTGAATTTTAACTAGTCTTAA